TTTCATAAGACATTGAAGTTCAATTTAAATCAGCAAGGATGGTGTTTCTTGAGTATTTATGCATGTAGATAAAAGGACCTGTGTTAGTGTGTGTTTCAGTTTGATATATTTCGATACGCGCTATTGCAAAACAGTGGCAATGTGGCATTTACAATAGCCAGTATATTACTGTTTATGGTTTGCGGGAATATATCGCATAGCATACACCAATATTATCAGTAACAAGGACATCATATCATTGCCTTCGTCTTGTTTTACTGAAAGGCTAAGCAGTTTTTTTAAGTTCTTCAAGATCGTCTTACGTAGGACTTTGTGGCATAAAGGACTATGCGGCACAAGATATACATGCTTATAAATGGCATATATTACTACATTATATCTCTGTCAGACGGGCTAAGACTAGTTTGAATTTTCTAACAAATCGGCGTATATTTTCAGACCCTTTACCAGGCATTTCTTCAATATATGTTAGTTAACAGAATTAACTTCCATTTCAAAATAAAATGATTTGGTTCTCCGCGTCAAGATCGAAAATTTGAAGCGGACAACACACAAGCTATATATATTACCATAAGCTTCGAAATATCGGTACTCGTTATGACGTCACATCAGCAAACATGGCGGCTATAAAAGTTCGCATTTGATACCGAGGTTTGAGGGTAAAATTAGTCAACTTCTACTTAACACACAAAAGTCATATATACATCAAATTGTTTCTAAAAGGCTGAATATTTGTTTAGGCTAATAAAAATCGGGTCGAAAATTTCGTTGCAGTAGCACTTTAAGGAGGTCTAAGGTAGGCTAAGGAAGGCTAAGGAGAGCTAAGGATGTCTAAGGAGGGCTAAGGAGGGCTAAGGAGGCCTAAGGAGAGCTAAGGATGTCTAAGGAGGGCTAAGGAGGGCTAAGGAGGCCTAAGGAGGGCTAAGGAGGCCCAAGGAGGGCTAAGGTGGGCTAAGGAGGCCAAAGGAGTGCTAAGGAGGGCTAAGGAGGCCTAAGGAGGGCTAAGGGGAGCTAAGGATGTCTAAGGAGGGCTAAGGAGGCCTAAGGAGGGCTAAGGAGGCCTAAGGAGGGCTAAGGTGGGCTAAGGAGGCCAAAGGAGGGCTAAGGAGGGCTAAGGAGGCCTAAGGAGGGCTAAGGGGAGCTAAGGAGGCCTAAGGAGGGCTAAGGAGGGCTAAGGTGGTCTAAGGAGGGCTAAGGTGGTCCAAGGAGGGCTAAGGAGTGGTAAGGAGGCCTAAGGAGGGCTAAGGAGGGCTAAGGATGTCTAAGGAGGGCTAAGAAGGGCTAAGGAGGGCTAAGGAGGCCTAAGGAGGGCTAAAGAGGGCTAAGGTGGTCTAAGGAGGGCTAAGGAGGCCTAAGGAGGGCTAAGGTGGTCTAAGGAGGGCTAAGGTGGTCCAAGGAGGGCTAAGGATGGCTAAGGAGGTCTAAGGTGGGCTAAGGAGGGCTAAGGAGGCCTAAGGAGGGCTAAGGAGTGCTAAGGTGGTGTAAGGAGGCCAACGGAGGGCTAAGGAGGGCTAAGGATGTCTAAGGAGGGCTAAGGATGGCTAAGGAGGTCTAAGGTGGGCTAAGGAGGGCTAAGCAGGCCTAAGGAGGGCTAAGGAGGGCTAAGGAGTGCTAAGGTGGTGTAAGGAGGCCAAAGGAGGGCTAAGGATGTCTAAGGAGGGCTAAGGATGGCTAAGGAGGTCTAAGGTGGGCTAAGGAGGGCTAAGGAGGCCTAAGGAGGGCTAAGGAGTGCTAAGGAGGCCTAAGGAGGGCTAAGGTGGTCTAAGGAGGGCTAAGGTGGTCCAAGGAGGGCTAAGGAAAGCTAAGGAGGGCTAAGGATGTCTAAGGAGGGCTAAGAAGGGCTAAGGAGGGCTAAGGAGGCCTAAGGAGGGCTAAGAAGGGCTAAGGATGTCTAAGGAGGGCTAAGGATGGCTAAGGAGGTCTAAGGTGGGCTAAGGAGGGCTAAGGAGGCCTAAGGAGGGCTAAGGAGTGCTAAGGTGGTGTAAGGAGGCCAAAGGAGGGCTAAGGAGGGCTAAGGATGTCTAAGGAGGGCTAAGGATGGCTAAGGAGGTCTAAGGTGGGCTAAGGAGGGCTAAGCAGGCCTAAGGAGGGCTAAGGAGTGCTAAGGAGTGCTAAGGTGGTGTAAGGAGGCCAAAGGAGGGCTAAGGAGGGCTAAGGATGTCTAAGGAGGGCTAAGGATGGCTAAGGAGGTCTAAGGTGGGCTAAGGAGGGCTAAGGAGGGCTAAGGAGGCCTAAGGAGGGCTAAGGAGGGCTAAGGTGTGCTAAGGTGGTGTAAGGAGGCCAAAGGAGGGCTAAGGATGTCTAAGGAGGGCTAAGGATGGCTAAGGAGGTCTAAGGTGGGCTAAGGAGGGCTAAGCAGGCCTAAGGAGGGCTAAGGAGGGCTAAGGAGTGCTAAGGTGGTGTAAGGAGGCCAAAGGAGGGCTAAGGATGTCTAAGGAGGGCTAAGGATGGCTAAGGAGGTCTAAGGTGGGCTAAGGAGGGCTAAGGAGGCCTAAGGAGGGCTAAGGAGTGCTAAGGAGGCCTAAGGAGGGCTAAGGTGGTCTAAGGAGGGCTAAGGTGGTCCAAGGAGGGCTAAGGAAAGCTAAGGAGGGCTAAGGATGTCTAAGGAGGGCTAAGAAGGGCTAAGGAGGGCTAAGGAGGCCTAAGGAGGGCTAAGAAGGGCTAAAGATGTCTAAGGAGGGCTAAGGATGGCTAAGGAGGTGTAAGGTGGGCTAAGGAGGGCTAAGGAGGGCTAAGGAGTGCTAAGGTGGTGTAAGGAGGCCAAAGGAGGGCTAAGGAGGGCTAAGGATGTCTAAGGAGGGCTAAGGATGGCTAAGGAGGTCTAAGGTGGGCTAAGGAGGGCTAAGGAGTGCTAAGGTGGGCTAAGGAGGGCTAAGGAGGTCTAAGGTGGGCTAAGGTGGGCTAAGGAGGGCTAAGCAGGCCTAAGGAGGGCTAAGGAGTGCTAAGGAGTGCTAAGGTGGTGTAAGGAGGCCAAAGGAGGGCTAAGGAGGGCTAAGGATGTCTAAGGAGGGCTAAGGATGGCTAAGGAGGTCTAAGGTGGGCTAAGGAGGGCTAAGGAGTGCTAAGGTGGTGTAAGGAGGCCAAAGGAGGGCTAAGGATGTCTAAGGAGGGCTAAGGATGGCTAAGGAGGTCTAAGGTGGGCTAAGGAGGGCTAAGCAGGCCTAAGGAGGGCTAAGGAGGGCTAAGGAGTGCTAAGGTGGTGTAAGGAGGCCAAAGGAGGGCTAAGGATGTCTAAGGAGGGCTAAGGATGGCTGAGGGAGACTGAGGAGGACTAAGTATGTGATACACTATAATATGTGATACATTATAATAGGGGTCACATAAAGTAACTACCTTTACTTCTAATAATTTTATAAATAAATCGTAATCATAGTAATTCATTCGTTATTCCAGCCGGTTTTTACTTACAGTTTTTTCTATTGTGGTACATTGGGTTAGTTATCATCATGGATTTACCAGACAGTAGTGAAACCTATATGCTAAAAGAATATTGGAACAAAAGGTTTGCTGTTGAAGACAATTTTGAATGGTGTAAAAGCTACTGTGATTTTAGGCACTTAACAATCCAACATGTTAGAAAATGTGATAGAATTTTAATGTTAGGTTGTGGTAATAGTAGGTTAAGTGAAGAAATGTATAATGATGGATATACAAATATTGTGAATATTGACTATTCCCCAGTTGTTATTGAGAAAATGAGGCAAAAACATCAAGAACTTATTGGAATGGAATATTTGCAAATGGATATTACAAAAATGACTTTCGATAAGAATTCATTTGATGTTATTATAGAGAAGGGAACTTTAGATACTCTCCTAGTGGACGAGAAAAATTTATGGAACCCATCAGAACATAGCCGCAAGTTTATGCATACTGTTCTTTTACAGGTATGAAACTATTCAAAATTGCCCACCATTGCCAATTATATTAGCTGAAAGCTAAATAGATAAAAATTATTGAATTAATGTAAGTTTCTTAACAACATGTACCAGCAAACATTTTAGTAATATGATTAATGGATAGGAAAAAACTAAAACTTAATTTGGTTTCTCAGATTGGTTGTCCCTAATCCTAGCTATATTTGAAATTGAAAACCTTTACATTTTTTCCTACAGATTTCTCAGATCCTAAAGATTGGAGGGCGTTTTATATCTGTGGCATTTTCACAGCCACACTTCAGGAAGCTGTACCTTGCTAAGTCTGAGTATAACTGGTCAATTACAACAAATATCTTTGGCTATTACTTTCGCTATTTTTTCTATGTTATGGAAAAAGGTAGAGAACTAAGTAATGATGACAAGAACCTGGAGGTTTCTCAAAACAAGAAAATATGTGAGGGGGACCAGCAATGCATATCTTTTTCTGAATTAGAAGAAGACAATGATGAAAACTTTTTAAAAAATATTTCAAATATATTTTAATAAATAAACATTTATATGCAGTTTTTATGCAGTTGTACACAGACTACTGCTAGTCAGTTAGTTTGTGACAAAGAAAATTTTTAACTTTCTAAAATCCATGAACTTTATACTAAATGTGATAAATAAACAGATAGTGCAGGCTAATTTTAAAAATTTATATTTATATCAAGTACTGTCAGTTGCTTTATGGAAGTAGACGAAACTCGTGAAATAAACCTATTGCCTGCTGAAATGACTATCTCTCACTTTACTTGGGATCAGTGGACTCTATATGCTTGGGATCTTACATTAAAGTTGTATTTATCTGCTTTTGGCGTAACATATCGGTTGCATCAGAACGGAGAAACGATAGTAATTATGGAGCTGTGAGCATCTAATCAATTGTCTTACTGTTTTCGACGAAACCGAAGTGCAACATATAAACGAGTTTTATCACGTTTTCTGGAGCGGCTTTCACGTTCATTCACGTAGAACCTTAGCCTTTCTGACTTCTGCGCCCTCTGGTAATCTGGTTCCTCAAAATTATGGTAATTTGTTTTGCTCCGCGCATACATGAAGTACATCAACAGGGAAGTTAAACATGGCGGAAGCCAGGAGTGATGAGATCAATGATCAGGTCAATAGCTCACAAAAAAGATCATTGGTTGGCGAAATTGAGAATAAAAGCTCTAAGAAAGTGAAGCATGATGCAATGAGTGATTTCAAATTGGTGAAAGTTCTTTCAGAGAATGCTAGGAATAAAACAATAATTTTGCATTTGCAAGGTCAGTAGTTTTGTACAGTTGTGCTACGAATGCATATCAATCAATAAAAAATTATGAATAAAATACCAGTCTATCTGTCGTATCATTCTGGCACATCTAAAAGTGTTATTTTCAAAAATTTGAAGTGAGCTTCGAGTTCGAAATGTTAGCCATAGATGGGGTCAAATCTATTGAATTGGGGTTGATCTCTAACCTTTAATAGTGTAAATTCTGATTGTCTCACATGCTGATTGTCTTTATTCCTTCGTTTAGATAAAATTGAGCATAAAGATGCTGTGTCTATTCTTGAAAAGACCCCATTTTCTAATACCATGATTGACAAGATTCTTTCCAGTGATGGTCAGATGAAAGTGCAATTTAACAATGATATTTACTCTCAACTTCTTTGCAAGTTTCCAGAAGAAATCAATTTTGTGAAGAATACACTGATATATCCAGCTACTGAAAAACATGTCAAAAAATATTCAGCTCAACAATTTTACTTAGTGGCGGAAACACCAGATGTTTATAAAAAAGTCACTCTTCCATTCATTAAAGAACAAGCTGTTCATTTACAGGTAAAATATGTCACCCGAATAGCAGATTATTTCACATGATTCTGGTAATACCTTAGTATTGATGTAATGATGTAATCTATCTCATAGCTAATAAAGTCTTAAAGTATTCTGCCTATGGCAATTGTGATTGTAAAACTGACTCTTCATAAAGTTTTTTAATAAGCGATGTGAAGAGGACATAAGAAAAACTAAATATTGCAGAATAAGTGGTAAACGTATTGTATATTTTGTTATAATTTAGTGGGTGTATAATATTTTGGAGAAGAAAGCAGAATCAGATCGGATCATATATGAAGATTCACATTCTGAACATGGCTTTATCGTTTTACCTGATCTCAAGTGGGAACAAACACAAATGAAAAGTCTTTATGTTATGGCAATTTGTTATAAACATGGAATAAATACATTACGGGATTTGAATTCTTCACATTTACCACTTCTAAAGAATATTCTTCAACAAGGATCAGTAAGAAACCTTTACCCTCAATCTGCCTCAGTAATGAAATTGATACATGAAAATTAATGAAAAATGTCTTGAAAGAAATTGATATTCTTGTAAAACTGTTCTGAAAGTAATATAGGTATATATTTATCTTATAGGAGGCAATCCTGAAGACTTACAATGTTTACCCATCACAACTTCGTGTGTTCGTTCATTACCAGCCAACTTACTATCATTTTCACGTGCATTTCACGCATGTAGAGTACGAGGCACCTGGTAGTGTTGCTGGAAGAGCTCATCTCTTGCAAGATATCATAGATAACATTGAAAATATTGACAGCAATTATTATGCAAAGAGGACTTTACATTTTCAAATCAGTGGAAACAACAGCCTCTTTTCTTGTTTGAAAGCTGCAGGGGTTGTTAATGAAATAGATGCTGATAGCTAGACAGCCTTACAGTTGATATATATTTTATACTGTTGAATGTTAGTTAAATAGGTTTCCCATAGTGCACCTGCCTCTTACTGAACTGTATACAGTGATCGTACAGTATAACGAAAGTTTGCTGCCAATTGTTGGGATTGAAAAAAATGGTTTTAATCATCCCCTTTGAATACTCCGTCTTTATATTGGATAGAAAGTTGCTATAACACACGCAGGACGAATGAGAATGGACTGTGGAGGAGTTAAGTCAAGTGATGGTTGTACGCAGCTGAATAAAAATGTTTAATCCAGTCTACTGTAGATCAGTCTTATGACATCACAATTTGATTAATTTTCTGCATCGCGTCTAAAAGCGTGCGTCGTATTTCACCAAAGATTTTAAAAATTAAGATTTGTGCATGCAGGTAAGAAATTTCTCTTGAACTTTAATCTATTTTGCATGACTCTCAGCACTGACTCGGTCCAGCGGGTTTCGGTCGGGTTGGGTATTGTAACTAATGGTTCTAATTCGAACCTGTGGTAAGAATCACATTATTATTTAACGGACTGATGGTGATTATAGTGTTACGGAGAGTTGCTACACTCGAGAGTTGCATGGTGCTAAAATTATAAGTTACACATGTCAAGCTAGGAGAGGCACAACACAAGAGTCGGCAAGGGCCAATTTGTGTGACCTGCTTCGAGACTGCCAAATCTAAGCTCAATTTTACACAGCACGAAAGAAAGCCTGAACTTTTAGTACAGAAGATAATTTTCCACACTACATTGACATTACAGATGACTGTATGGAGAGTGTGTCTAGAGAAACAATGGGAATTTCAACCAACGTGTATGTCTATAAACTATTATTACTGGCATGTGTAGTTTTTCTGGCTCCATTCTGGATACCATTTGCAATAGCTGTTATAGCAACAACACTTGTCTTCATTGGAGGATTACTGACAATATTTTCGATGCCTGCTGCTTTCATTTTATCTTTCGTTTTGGGAATATTTGCCTTGTTACTGTTCTTGAGTGCTAGCGTACCGGCAGTGACGCAGTTACGACATAAAATCTTGCATCGTATCCAGCATTCGTTAGACGCCGAGAGCATTGGCCGCTTGAAATGGATGCCTTTCATTAAACCTTTTCGGAGAAGTGAAGTTGAAATTCAGGAAGTGGAGAATTCTGGAGCCGACGTAGAGATAAAAGATTCTTGGGACGAATTTACATAGATAGGAATGAAATACATGTCGGTTGTATAACAATGAAAGCACAAAAACCAGCAAAGAAACTGGAAAGAACATACTTTATTAAATACGACTAATAAAATCTATATAATTTTAACTATTACACCCTCCAATGTAACCTATAACCATGAACTGATTCCTAATTCAATGTTTCTTATAATCGTCGTCAATCTCTCGTACAGAAAATAAAATAAGATGAACGAATTCCGTTATACTTTCTCTATTTTGGGATTAAACCGATGCATACTGCGCCGGAATCGGAAAAAATACTATGCAAGATGGCGACTTGCAAACTGTACCAAATAATGGTCCCGAAGTATTAATAGCCCGCAGAACTAACTATTGCAAAAGAAAGATCTAAAAGACTGAACCAAGTATATTTTATGTTTTCATTTGCATTCGAATGAGAAACGTCTCCTGAGTTTCGTTTTAAAAGAAATTAAGACATCTTTTACGAGCTGTAAATAGAATTGAAATTGGGCAATTTATATGATTTTAAATAGTTTTTTCAATTCAATCATTAACTGCCAATCACTTTTTTGAAGGTCGTCTCTGAAGTATTCTTTAACAGCGTCAATTGATTCCCGAGATATCTGTAAAGGATTTTGTGAGGACAGATATTATGTAAATGCCTTACTCTAATTGCTATGTGATGTATCATTTATTGACTGAAGTATTGACTTACTTTACTAACAAGTGGATCTGTATAATCAAAATGACGACCATACATCTTGGGTGCTTCTCCAGGAATTGGTTCGATTTTAACACAGACTTCCATTCCCTTAGTCGCTTTCTCCACAGGTTTATGGTTCGTCTCAATTCCAGTCACAATGCCAATGTCAACAAACTATAATACAAAAATCATACTGAAATATACTACGGCTACGTACGTTGTATATAAAATTCCGGCTTTCAGTCCACTGTAGTGATTAGGTTATAGAAACGACTTTCAAGAAAGACAATCACACCACACGGGTGCTAAAGACGCATAATTCATTGTCACAACGAAGACAATAACCTCAACCCCACTTACCTCTTTGCTAGGAACACATATCGGAGTTCCTTCTTTGACAATACCAGCATCAACAGCAACGCCAAGCACTATGGGATCTCGAGTATTGAAGATGTGTTCAGTGAGAACCCGTAACTTACATGGAAATATCGCAATGTGCTTGAATTCATCTCGTCTCTTTTGTTTTAATTCCTGTAAAAATAGTTCATCATCTCTCAATTGTAGCTTTTTCCAAACTTTTCCCGCACCCCCCTCCCCTCTTCCCCAGCCAAAGACGAAAGTGTTCATGTCAGGTTTCCACTGTTTTAAGCAATTCCAATGATCAAGAGGTAACTTATATACAACGCGCAAATAAAACTGGGAGTAAAGAAACACAGCTTACCTCCCTGTAGCTCATAAACTTATCAAATAGATGATAAATAATATCAGCTGTAAATATTTTTACACCAAGATTATCTGCAAGTTCCTGGGCATCACGTTCGACTTTTACATCAAATGCGAGAATGACTGCAAACCTAAAAATCCAGTCACATGATTTCACATATACATGCACAAGAGTATTTAACCTCAATATTATAATTATCTCATTATTGGTCATAAATACTTACTGATTATCATGCTCCAACATCACTGAGGCTTTCATAACATCTTTCTTATGAACTGGACCAACACTAACACTACAATACTGAAAACAATAACACCGTGTCAGATAAAAATTCTAAAAATACAAGCTATAATTTATTCTGCTGCTACAGACGTAATTAAGGTGGCTCCCTAGGGTTTCTGAAAAAAAATTATTAATAGAAAAGTGGGAAATTTGAACACAAATTGTTACAAACATTTGTTGTAATATCTAGTTTCACGTTTTCCATAGAAATACTCCATTTCAAAGTTTAAAATTACGAGTAAACAGTACCTCAATTGAATTTTTTAAGTACATACCGGTATTTTTGAAGTTTTCAAGAATTCTAAGAGAGCCTCCAGAGAACCAAGTGTTGAGGCTTGTACACAGACTCCTTTGTCAGCAACTTTGATCGATTTCAGTGTCTGTTGAACAATTTCGTTTACGTCTCTCTAAAAAATGTGTCAATTACATGCTTCGTAAAAACTGAAAACAAATCTCGTATGCCGAAAAAGCAACAGTAAATCTATAATATAAAGATAAATTGTGGGAAATAGTTGTTTTGATACACCTGGAAATTTTAAAGATAGTTCAAATAAAATCTATACAGCGGCGAATTATTGTGGCAAATAGAAGCTAACTGAGCTCTTGCGCGTGCAGCACATTTTTTTTATCTGGGGCGTACATAAATATCTTAGCTCTGAATCATCTTTGACAAACATTGTAATAGACGTTCACCTTAAGTACTTCAATCTCGTCTTCTTCATAAGCCACAAACAAAGGCGATCCTGCAAGCGCCTTATCAAGTTCCTTTCCGGTGATTTTCACCCCTTGTGCTGCTTCAATTTCTTTAAATTCTTTATAATGATTCTTTACCCGGAGTTCTTTCAAAGGTTGGGGCATGAGTAAAGCTCGTATCTGGGTTACAATAGGACCTTGTATTCCCCCCAATACAATTGTTTGAGATTCTGCTAAACGACCATTCGTCAAAATTACATCAATCGTTGTCCCTAATCCAGTTATAGCCTTTACCTAGAACGTTTAGAGGCGCAACTTTATTTAGTTAGTTTGATTCGTAACCATTGGTTGGGAAAAGTATGAAAAAGGATTGAAAGATGCCACAGGACAAACATAATCGTTGGCATTATTCGAAAGCATGCTGGTAAAAGGACTTTGCTATAGTGTCAATGGAACATACCTCAAGCACAGTGCACTGCAGTTCCTCTGAGTAGGATAATCTTTGAGCTAGTTTAGTCTGACATAGTTTGACAATCAATGAAATCAGGTCACCCATGCCATCCCCAGTGTGAGCTGATGTAGGGACCAGAGATATGTAAGTCTTGGCGTCAACATTTTTATTAAATAATATAGCGTTTAATCCCTGTATATAAAAATTACATTAGTCATTCATGAATATCAGCAGAAAATAGTTTTGATGGTATTAAAATAGCGATCCCGAATTCGTATAGATTTAGAACACAATTTGAACTGTGTTAAGATAAGCATAGGGCAATATATTTCTAACCTCTTCAGCAAATTCCCCGATAATTTTATTCATTCGCTCTTCAAACTCTTGTTTTGTACCTCTTCCTTGTTTCTTAAGAGTATCTATAATACTCGAGTTTGGACCTCGTTTCCATTCGTACAATCGATCAACCTTAAAAAGTGGTAATATTAAATAGAAAACCAGTCACGTTTCCAAGCATAAGGTGCAATATTAGGTACAGCTTTTAAACACTGTTTATACACTGTTTAGTTTTTCATTTTCATACCTTATTTAAGGCAACGACAAAAGGTGTTTTCTTATTTCTTAGTAAATTTATAGATTCAATTGTTTGCGGTTCTAGACCGTGCATAATATCAACAACAAGAATTGCCATATCGCATAATGTTGAACCTCGTGATCGCAAGTTACTATAAAACAAGAAAATTTAATAAAAACTGTGTCATATGATTTACTACTTTTACGACTTACGATTTAAAAAGGCGATCTTATTGCATGACGATTTTTTACTTTGGCTTTTTTTCTTTAAATAATTGATATAACCTGGCTTCCAAGAATTGATATAATTCTCCCCCCATGATTGTGCTCTGTTCCAAAAAACATTATGGTACCTGAAAGATTCATGGCCAGGTGTGTCTATGATCAGCAAAGCAGGTATTTTCATGTCAAACTCTGTAAACTATAGATTGAAAAAGAATACAATCGTGACGTCACGACAACACTGCGTCATCATAATACAACTAATGGTATAAAAGGCGCGAAATTAAAATTTTAATTTACAAATAGTTTCCGGCACAAAAAATAATAGATGCACAAAAAAATAATAGATATACTCAAGCAGATCAGCTCGATGAATTGTACATACGTCTTTAATCATTTTCGTCTGTTGTTTTATCGCATCACTTGGGACGTTAGTTGCTCCAATCTGTTGAGTAATTCCTCCTGCTTCACCATCTTGCACATGAGAATGACGGATCTTAATATTGAACGAAAACATGTATCGCATGCACATGACTGATTTGGAAGTGTACAATTTTTTTTGTATTTTCTAACCTTATCTAGTATTTTGGTTTTTCCTGTGTCCACATGACCCATCACACAAATCACAGGTGACCGTAATTTCTCCTTCGATCGGGCTGCTTCTGCCTTCTCCCTTCGTTTCTAGGAAGAAAAATTGTTTTGGTTTGAAGGCTTAGGCTAAGTATAGCTAAGAACGAATTTACAATAAATACCTTTATTCTGGCTTCAGCTCTGAAAAATTCTCTTTCTTCTTTAGATAGCGATTCATCTTCTTCATATTCGTCTTCAGATTCACTTTCCGTATCTTCACCAGATTCACTTTCTTCTTCTTGTCCATTTTCGTCTTCACTCTCATCTTCACTTGTCTCTTCGTCTTCATCCTCCCCACCTTCATCCTCATTAATTTCACCCGAGGCTTTCTAGAAAAATTCAAACAATTTCAAGTGAGTGGTGATCAGAAAACGTGTTGCTTTGAAAAAATAATTGAAAATTGGAGGGAACTCATTATTGAACTACTGCAGTTCGTTCAACACAAAATAATAAAAGGTTAGTACCTGTTGTGTTTCAGTAGTGGCAGTATCTGTAACAGAAGTTAAGTTAGCATTTGTAATTTTTATTAATGGCAGTAAAATTAGTTAATCATGGTTCGTGTCTAAATAACCCAACTTAATCTCTACGGCGTCTATACTATATTTCATGCGACTTTTTTTCTTTTTCCTAAAAAAATGACAGGATGCACCTTGCAGGTTTAGTAAAGTTTTTTATTCAGTCTTTTTGCACGGAAGGGAATAGCGAATGAGATGAACATGACGTTCACTAATCGCAAAACTGACTTGATCTTTATTTTACTGCACTAAGCTGTTTGTGAGAAGATTGAGCACTTTTTAGAACCTAGGACATTCCTGAAAAGACCTAGGACAAAAAATGATTTACACCTTTATCGCTTTCCTCATCTTGATCATCCCAGGTCTCTTTTACATCATCTTCCTGAATCTCAGACTAAAAATAAATCACAAAATAATGCAGTGATTTCTTTAAATACTTTTTACGCGTGAGACTGGAGTAAAGATTACGGTTGATTGAAGATTTAAAAGGGTTGAAAACCTTGTTCAAAATCGTATCATGGATAAATAGACAGAAATTCAATATAGATCTCGACAGAAAACAAACACTCGCTTTTCCTCTTCTCTTTTGCCAGCTGAAGCACCCTCGTTCCCAGGTTTTTCGCGTACTGCTTTTGGCAAACGTAGTACGCGAAAAACCTGGGAATGAGGATGCAACTGAAGCTAAAAATGACTACGTCTTCCACGTTGTTTGAACCAGGCCTAAAGACCTCATACACATTATCATATGTAATGCAGAAGTAATAAATCTCATTACCTTATCTTCAATGTTTTCTTTAGTTTCTTTTACTGTCTCTGTTGGATTGTCTTCTAAAAATACATTAATTTCCCTTTTTATGATACATAGTCTGATATATAGTCTGATGCAGTTTCCTGTCCAAGCATAGGCAGCCCAATGGCGACTCGCGTGTTCAGGCAATGTAGGCATTATATAGTATATATATATCCTATATATATACTATATAATGCCTACATTGCCTGAACACGCGAGTCGCCATTGGGCTGCCTATGGTCCAAGTAAGTTCATCAGTACACCTTATTTTTGTATAACAATAGAAAACTTAGTAACGCCTTTTTTCCCAGTTTAGTATTCAGTTTAATAGGTGCAGAGTTCATTGCCTGGTCGTGTGCGAACACTGTTACGATCATCAGGCAACGCAAAACCCTTGTTTAGGTCTGGTGACGAACGTTTTCTTTTGCTTTGCTCCCTATGAAAAATATTGTACTGACTTGACTGACAATAAGTTCACCTGCGTTTTCTAGTTCACCGTCTGCTGTTGTATCTTCGGGCTTATCTTGGAATTGCTTTTGCTTCTTTTTATAACCATATCGAACAGGTTTCTTTCCGTCACCCGGGTCTGAACCGCTACGATTTGGAATTGCAATTCCTAAATAGATCAGCACGTTTCATTGAGCAATTGCTGAAATTCCTGTTTACATTATTTTTCTTGTTCTGTAATTGATATATATACATATGCAATAGTCTACATACCACGCAAATTTTGCACGCTTAGACTTTAACTAACAGTGCATCCCGCAACTTGCACATGCGTATCGCTCGCTACTAATGATGTATTACGAACCTTGTGCTCGCATAGCCTCCAACTGTGCTTCAACTTGAGCTTTTCTTGTTTCTGAGCTGGAGTCAAGAATTTTCCTTCCTGTTTCAACCTCATTTTTCGCTCCTGTTGAAATAATAATTATCATATTACATTAACGTGCTTTCTGAAGTGAAGTGATCGAACTATGTACTGCACTGTACTTGTCATACATAGGAAAATGAATTTATGTAACCTTTTCCTTTTCCTTACTAACCTTTTCTTTTTGTTTTTGTCTCTCTTTACGTTCTTTTTCAAGTCGAATCTATAAAAAAACAAAGCAATAATTTGTACTCACTATAGTTGGTTTAGTATCGCACTTGTGGTGGTCGAGCGCGATCACATAGCACATAGAGATCCACCACAAGTTCATAAAATGACTTCTCACATATGACCCATTAGAGCACAACGTACCTTTTCCAGTCGTCGATTTTCAGCTTCCTCCAGTGCCTTTACTTTAGCTTCTTCTTCTTGCCTTAATCTTTCCTGTTCGAGTTTTGCTTTCTCAAGAGCCTCTTGCATTTGCTTGATCATCCCCCTCGCAGGTTTCTTAACTTTAGGCGCTTCCTCTTCCTTTACTTTCTTTTTCTTTTTTTTCTTCTTCTTTTTATCTTCCCCATCTTCCACTTCATCTTGCTCCTTCACTCCAGACGTTCCCTCCTCTGCACCTTCTTCATGTTCTGTCTTTTCAACTTTTACAGATTTTTCATGATCCTCAATATCTATTGATGAATAACTGCAACAGTTATCACTTACCTAAAATCTATTGTATCTGTTGTGAAAGACTGTTGACATTTAATGATTGGGCGCACTTAATAACAAATCGTGAAGGCAGATCTTTCTGTAGTTTATGGAAAATCTCATGCCAACACTATGTTTTGGTATATTACTACTTAGGGCCTACTTAGTGTAGATATAGATATTGAAAGAAAAGTAATTCAATGTACCTGCTGTTTTATTACCCTCCCCTAAATGTGATTCTTCTAAATTTTCAGGATCGTCAACTTTTTCAGTTTTTTCAGTTTTTGTTTCCTTTGTTTTTTTTTTCTGAGCATCCTTCTTTTTCTTGTCTCGTTCTTTTTTCTCAGCTCTCTTTTGTGCTGCTGTTTTGACAGTTGTTTCTTCTTCCTCATCAGCTTTTTCATGCTCATCCTCTTCATTTTTTGTTTTATTTTTCTTTGCTTTCCTTTTCTCTTTCTTAAAATTATGTTCATCCTCATCAGAGTTTACTTCCTTTATACTCTCATCATTGCCCACAGTGCTTTCTTTAGTAAAAACATTATCATTGCTTGATTTACTTTCCAAATCTTGGTCTTCCTCACTTGTTTTATTTTCTACTTTTCCTTTTTTTGTTTTTTTATCTTTTTTTACTCTTTCATTTGGTTCAATTTCATCACCCATGTCATCAATATCCTCCACATCAAGCAATCCAAAACTTGATTGTGGACCAACATTGTTTGTTGTTTCATCTTCATCTGATGAAACTGCCCCTTTCCCTTTTTTGTGTTTCTTTTTTTTCTTGGCATTTTCATTGTCATTACCAACTTCACTCTGGAAAAGATTTTATCAGATTGCACAATTTTGCTTACATTTCAATGATTAATACAATCCAAATAAAATTTAAGCTACCTTGTGAAGGCTTTCTTGGTTTTATATTCTTACATTATAGCTTCATGCTATAGTTAGAACTATGCATTTTATGAAACAACAGAATGATGATTAACAATACCTTGGTACCAGTATCATCTTCAGCACTGCCTAACTTCATCTGCTCAATCTCATTTGCAACCTCATCTTCCCTGAAAATATCATTTTAAATAATTAACTCGCAATGACGAATAAGCCATTATGTTGGGGGTACTACATTTTTCAAAATTATAAGCATAAGACTTCCTTGGAATGGCTGTCTTTAATTTTATGAATTTATTCTTTAATAAATGGTATGTGAATGGTATGAAAATGGTATTTATATATAATGACTATGAAACAATTACAACTAATTTACCAGTCATCACTATCTTTTCTCTTTCCCCTCCTTTTTTCTTTCTTTTGAGGCATTTTTAAACTGCTCTTAACACAAAGGTTTCAGATGGCATACTCTTCCTTTACTTCCAAAAACTCCAGTCACTCTGTGATGCAATATTGAAAAAAATTAATTTCTAACATGAAACACAAGATGTAACTCAACACCATTTCAGCACCTTTGTTTTCACTAGTGTATCAAATCAAGGAAACCTCATGACTTTACTATTGTACATGTACTCGCTTGATTTGCTATATTGCACCAGGATTGCATCATCTTAATTGAACTGATTGAAGTAAATATAAACGCTGTTATTTTATAAATAGCAAGACACAAAAAAGTATAAATTGTATCTCTTGTCATAAATTTACAAATTAAAAATCAATTTAACTAACACATAATTAAACAGGTTATCTTTTTATAACCCCCAAAATATTTTTTCTAGTCTGAAGTCCAACTATTTTCGGTAACACGTGTATCAAAAAAGAATAACCCGAAATTTCTAGTCACATACTATTAATTCAGACTACCATGATCAAAATAAAATAAAAACTCTACATACCACTTAAAATACTATACAAACAGATCACATAATCTATATAAAAGTTTAAATTGTTCAATAAGAAAATGTTAAAAACTTTTACATCAGAAATTTTGTATATTTCTTAGTTATAAAATTTTCCCAATGTGATTTTATTCTGTGATTAATCATTAGTTCCCAGCTCTCTCGTTAGGTCACCAGCGGAAGTGCAGAGAGAATTTCGAACGTCATATATTTTATACATGTCACGAAAATTGATTGTAAATAAGATTTTACATAATTAATCTGCATTTTTTAGATATTATAGATTACGTTTGAAATCAAAGATCCAGGCTTGTTCAATATGTTCGCTTTAAAACTGTTATTTATTTGCGTCGGCTGTATTTTAAACTGTTGTGATGAAACAGAGGGCGCTAATTATGGTTAGTATTATAAATAGCAACAACTTGTAAATATAAAATATAAAAACGTTTCCAGGACGCCAATAAAAACCTTCTAAAAATAGCTTACAATTAGTAGCTGCTAATTGTAGCACCATCATGTAAATTGGCTATATGGCCAATTTACTATTGAATTTTAAACACAAAAAATGTTGCAATTTGAATGAATTTATGTTGGTGCTGCAATATACCCAGTCACAAGGTGTTGTGGACTACAGACTGCAATGTCTGGACAAATAAGCACATCACTATATCTTTATGGTTTTGTCTGGACTATTCAAGATACATAAATGGTTAGACCTGACCCACCTATGACCCCAACAAAGCTAACAAAATATTACATTGTTGGGAGTAAATGGTTGTATAAAGTATAATTATGGTTAATAACCTCTATTATATACAAACAATATCATTACAATTATAAATAATGCTTTTTGTTCAAGATAATCTTCACAGAACAAACAGAAGTAGCAATTTAACAATCTGTGAACGACGTCAACACAAGATATCAAACCTATCTCCCACGGCTGGTTATATTGGTGCTTCTGTGGCAATTCTCATGTTTGGAAGTAATTTTGTTCCTGTGAAGAAAATAACCACAGGAGATGGTAAGTGCCAAGACAGAATAAATAAACCATATCTTGTTTATTATTTGGATGTATGTGGAGGCTTATAAGCAAAAACATTTCCTTATGTCACTTCTAAGCATAACATATGGAAATACACATTCCTGCTCCCAGGTGTAGTAGTGTATAGTGAGTTCTACTAGTAACTACACTATATATGGACTATGGAGTACTGTATGGCTGCCAATATTATACATCAATGACCTTGTTTTCTATTATACCAATTTAGGTGTTTTCTTTCAATGGATAGTTTGTCTAGGGATATGGATATTAGGATTATTTGTTCATCTTTACAATGGAGATGAAAGGAAATTTTTTCCTTTGGTAATGGTCGGAGGAGCTATCTGGTGTACTGGAAATATGTGTGTTGTTCCTGTTATTAAAACAATTGGTTTAGCAATGGGGTTATTAATTTGGGGAACTCTTAATCTAATAGCAGGATGGGCAACAGGCAGGTATTAAATGTATCAATGAATATGATCCTCACTCCATTGTGTTCCATTTTTTGGATGCAACTGCAGTCACCTTCAAAACTTATACAGGTTACTAGTGTGGTAACTTGCTCTAAATGCAAAGAAAGCCTTTCTACTATATGCATACATTACATACATTTTATACATATATACTGTAGATTTGGGACATTTGGATTAATTTGTGAGCAACCAGTACAGCATTCTGCAATGAACTATATTGGAGTCATGTTAGCAATGATAAGGTATTTCTCGTAATAATTTTTGAACTTTCTTCTGATATCTGCACACACATGCACCTCTTTTTCTATATTTCAATTTAATTTTGTATCAAATTGAAAAGCTGAAGGGAATTAGGACTGCTGTGTATTCTTTTAAAAATATTTTTGTCTTTCAAAGCCTTGGAATGTTTATTTTCATCAAAAGTGAAGATCCAACAGAGAATATTGCTTCTGCAAATGTATGTTAATGATTAGCCTGACTATTATACATATCAATTTAAAATACAAAAATTACAGAGTATACAAAACTATCTTTTTTAAATTATGTTTAATTTGAAACTTTTTAGACAAGTTTCAGTAATAGCCGTGGCGATAACAACTTAGTTCAAGATGACGACGATGAAGAAAATGTTTATCTGCTTGCGGGCGTAAAGCAAGACAGCGACTCCTCTTGGGTTGACCATTTTTCGAAAAACCAGAAGCGATTTATGTACGTTCACAACGTTCACAATTGAAAACAGAAACATTAGTTAAATTGGTAAAGTTTTATAAAACCTCGTATCCATAAAGTCTGAGGTCGGTCCTGAAGTGTGAAGAACAAGACAAAGTTTGGTTTGAATCTTTTAATGGCCTTTTCACAGCGTTTCCAGTTCGACGTCTATATCTATATTGAAGAAAATTTCTTGATTAATCCACAATAAATTTAATCACTCATTATCACTAAGAAAACGTCCCGTGCTATTGCATGCCGGGTAGGCTGTGTGCACACGAGTGTCGTTTGCCTTTATCGTTTTGACGCCCTTTCCACATGATCCAAGGGGAAATATGCTCAATATGTTAAATTAGCGTCTTTGAAACCGTTTTGGTATGAAAGCGAAAATGAAAACGTCATGTGTGCATATAGTTTTAGTAACTGATCCGTGTCCTGTAGAAAAACGCCATACCCATGCAGGTTCTCTTTTGAGGTTGGCAACATGATCGTAACTGATTCATTGTCTATTGCCTCTTAGTGGTTCTTACTAAATTGCCAAATAAATGAATTACGACATGGCTGTATGGTTATAAGTCATTTTATAATGTTAATGATGATTTGTTTGTGTTTTTTTAGTGGAATATTTCTGTCTGTTGTGTCGGGTATTTTATACGGCATCAGTTTTGTTCCAGTGTATATTATTCAGAAAAACAACGAAGATGCTCCAGATGATGGTATATATATAGTAGCTAATTATAGTTTATTCATGCACGTGCTATTAATTAGATGTTTGTAATCATGAGCACTCTCTAGTTCACAGGTCGGAAGCAACTGCTCGAAACATGCTTCTCTTTATTTCATGCCAACGAATTATGCGTCGCTAAAAATAACGCGATTTTGAAAGAAGAAACATTAGAAAATTTACCTCACTCAATTCTTTTAATATACTGCATGCATGTGAGACTGATTTTATACATTTTATACTTGTTTTTTTCTGTTTTCAACAGGAATACAATACGCGTTTTCTCAGTTTAGTGGCACTCTCCTAGCTAGCACGGTCTACTTTCTCATATATTGTCTTTACAAAAGAAATAAACCAGACATATATTCTGAAGCTGTCGCGCCAGGATTCTTGTCGGGAATATTATGGGCAGTTGGAGATGGTAGGTAAAAATAAATAGAAGAGCGAGGCATCTTCACTTATAGTATGTTTACTCTCCGAAGAGATTAAGAGTAAGAGTTTATAGTTACATTACTATATATACTTGTTCCATAACAAATCCAGGATGCATTAGTTTTTTAGACTTTAGTCCACTTCATTTTAACATACGTTAATTAAATTTTATCAACTGATAGCAATTGCAAAACTAATTTTTGTTGATGCCTTCCTTTAACTTATAGTTGGTTGGTTTGTTGCAAATACCTATTTATCAGAGTCCGTCAGTTTTCCAATTGTAACAACTGTGAGTACAGTTTATATTTATATTTATGCATGCATGAGTTACATGACCGGTAGGATATGATCAAGGATATGATTACTATAAATTTTGTTTGTTTGTCCTAGGGACCAGGAATTATTGCTTCCATATGGGGAATATTTGTATTTAGAGAAATAACGGTAAGATGTGAATTCTTTGCCTTCCATATCTACGACTTAAAAAGTAGTTTTAGCTTTTTCTTTTTACAGGGATGGAAAAATTTTCTTCTTCTCGGGGTGGCAATGTGCTTTGCAGTCAGTGGATCGGTAGTGACTGGTTTCTCAAAATGAACGCAAAATAGGTTTTCATACAAAGTTATAAATATTATATTCGTGAATTTAAATAATTTAATAATTTAATAAATGCATCTAACATGTAATACATTTAATACTGAATAATTTGTTTAACAATGTATATTAATATTAAATAATTTTAACAAAAGTTGTCACGTTTACTTATCTTTATTTTGTTCACTTCACTCCAAGTCAAAATTAGAGTATTTCACAACACAGGGCATATTAATACGGGATTAATTTCAGTATTGTCAAGCAAATATACGTTTCCTGAGGGTGAGACAACATTATGTAAACAACTGTAACAAAAGCAAATAAGATGCGATTGTGCACAAATTGCTTTAAAATTGGAATTCGTACAACCAGATGACATTGATAGTAATATTTAGATTTACCTCTTGTCGTCATCTCCACCGGCATCGACTGAACTGTCCTGACAGTCCTGTGTCCACGTGGTAACTTAAAATAAATTTTTGGAAATTGATTCATTAATGGTAGCATGCAGATGTGTTTATAAATGCAAAGACTACCATCGTTCATCGACCTTAGGGGGAATTAAGTAAATCAGTAAGATGCATATCCATAGGGATAACCGTGTACACGATTCTTAAGTTTTTGGTGCCAGACGGTATTGTGCATGTTCTACGAATCAGATTTTAAATACTTATAGTTGTTTCTCTAAGTTTTCATCATGAAATATGATATTCCGTACTTACCGAAACACATATGATGATTTGTAAAGTGACTATAACCACGATAGAAATTATCACAGCGATTATTATTATAATCATTGTTTTATCTAAAATGTAGTATATTGAAGATTACTCAGACAGAATCGGGTTACATGCATGTGGAGAATTGGATAACTGCCGCATCAACTTTGCTGCATGAGTTTGCTGGTTTTCTGGTGTGCATATTTGCATTTTATCTTATTTCTATGAATTTGGCGTTTCACACTATTTTTCCTTTAAACAAATTTTTGGTATAATGCTATATTTTAAAAAATCAATCATTTTGAATGTCGCTTTATTTATTTCCGGAGCGTGTGATTGAAAAACAATTTAACGAATAGCGGAAAACGCACAGGTGTTTTGTCCCCCCATTTTCCCGCTTTTTCTTCCACTCATCGAAATAACTCTACGTCCAGCTACAACTT